GAGTATGTTTAAGTTTCTGTATAATATATATTTGTGTATTTTACAAAAACCCTGTTAAAGACAAAATCCGTTTATATAATAGCGAGAAAATGTTTAGTCAGGAAGAACAAGAGGAAATAATCAACAAGTTCTTGAATGTTATTGAAATGAAAACAATTATTAAGGATAGAGTGAGTATTTGTAAAAATTGTAAGTTTAACCAGCAGAATATGTCTTTGTATAAACTGAACATACCTGCCAATATTATTAGAAATATTTGTAAATATAATTATGAAGAATGCGAGGTGTGTGAAACTTTGAAAGAGTTTAAGGAGTATGTTTATGATTGTAGTATGAAACAATTCGAAGATGCAGTTGAAGCAGTTGAAGAGAAACATAAATACGATATAGAAGAATATGTGCCAGAGAAATTAAACACTCAAATATATTACTATGTTAGATTAAATCCGTTTCCTACATTTGAGAAGACTTTACGAGTGTTGAGAAAATATTTGACAAATGAAGACAAGTTTTAAAGCAATGAATTCTACAATGAGATTAAATCATTATACGATACTTCATTTAAATTTGATGAAAAAGTACAAAGGTTTTACACCAAACAACGAAACAGAATAATTTATGAATATGACAAAAATGTAGATAAAAGGAATAACACAAAGATTAAATTTGTTAATCATCGTGGAAGAGAAATGAATAAAGTTGAAAGTGTAATTTATATAATTTTAACACACATAAACAACAATGACCCCAAGCACAATTTAAAATATAAACTGTACTCAAATGAAACCAATGTAAGGATTAATAAACGAATAGCAGAAACACATTTTGAAGATGATTATTCGTTTGAAAAGTTTATGGATTACAGATTTCCTTATTTACCTACAGTAGAATATAAGAAGCAAAAACCAATAAGAGATGACACAGTCTTTCTAAATAACTTAGATGGCTTATTAGATTAATATATTAACAAAGAATATTTGTTAATATATTATTCTATGAAGGGATAGTGTAGCTTGGAGAGTTGTAGGCTTTATCATTTCCGAGTTCAGGGGTA